TTACAAGATTATTTCTATTGGAGAAAACAACATACAGTATGTTATTTATGATAAAGTTGGGAAGCACAGATTTAATAGGCCAAGATATAAATGCTGTGATACTTTACTAATTCATTTCTTGAGATTTGTAAGTATTTCTGTTCACTGACTTCACCAGTGTCTATCACCACGGGAATTGAGATTTCAACTCATATGTCTTCATTCATCTCTCTCCTATAGGACCTGTTGCCTGGTCTAATCTTAAATTAAATCAAAACGTATAAACCCATAAACCATATGGTATCATTTCATTGCCTTTTGTCTAAAAAGCGAAACAGAATTGGTTTTAACCTGGATTTGAGCATTGTCACAGTAGAAGCCTGTCTCACATTTCAGGAAGACCGTTCCAGATTTTAGTTGCATAAATCTGAAATTGTGTCTCCCCATGTTTAGTCCTGACTTTGGGCACCAGCAGGAGGCCTCAGGGTCTGAGTTGGTACCAACCAACATGCCGCGGATGTATCCTGGAAATATGAATCAACACTGCCACCCACGGGTGACTCAATGTTTTACACTTTAAACATGCGTTAATCCTCGTTCCAAAGTAGTAGGCAATTTCAAAAGCATATAATAAAACAAATATGAATTTAACACTGCTTTCTATTCCATTCACACATTTTGTCATAATCAAAACCTTGACCTAATACATTGGATTGTGAAAATAACTCCCGAAGACCAGTTTCCTTTCTTAACACAAAAATCATTTAAGTTAATACAGTCATTGTTGAAGTGGATATCACCTTTATTTTCTCTACCAGCTGCAAGTCTCTAAAACAAAACATAGACAGGCCCCAGCGAGAATTGAACTCGCGACCCCTGGTTTACAAGACCAGTGCTCTAACCACTGAGCTATGGAGCCACTGATGCTAAGCTAACTTGCTAACAGAAACATAAATCAACCACAACCCACGGACTAGTGACATGATTTGTATTATATAGAGCTACATTTTTGGTGGTTGAGTACACTTTTTTTTTTTTTTTTTTTACCGGAATCAGCATTAGTGAGGATAAAATAAGAGTATAAATAATATCCCCATTCGATTATGAGACTCAAATTAATATATAACAGTTCAGTCATGCTGACGTAAGACTGCAATTGTGTCTTTTATAGTGCATTTTAATAAAGACTTGATTAAATAAATCCATCTTTATTGATCCTTTTTTTGGTCACATCCACACACACTCCTTTCACACGACTTTATATCGTTTTTTATCTCCTCTTTTTAACACTAACACAGCACATGGAACTGTATGTGGACCAAGTGTTTTGTGACCTGCTGTACTGCCCTGCCTGATCTTAAAAAAAACAATGGCTTTGTAAAAAAAAGTTCTTATTCAGCCATTGTTTGTGTAAAATATAGTTTCTTAATGTGATTATCTAAAATCATCTGAACATCGTAATGAGTGAAATAAATGAAACATGTGTAAGAAATAACAGCACAGAAATGGTGCCAAATACAAAATAACTTGCACATTGAAGGCTGAGGAGGTCTGCAGGAAATTACGGTCCTGTGCCATCACCATAGACTGTATATATTAACGGACAGAGTCACGCCTATCTCTGCCGTTCTAACTAATGGGCCAAAAAATGTGCTCTACTCATGGATGTATTATATTAACTGGATAGGGTATTACTAGCTTGTAGCTGAATAACTCACGTGCTCGGGGGATTCTCGCGGTACTGCAGACTGAACCAGACTGAACCAGACTAAATTCACGTGGGCTACCCAGAAATTTTCCCCATAGAACTCAATGCATATTAAAACAGCTCAACCTCAGCTGACAGAGAACCTGCAGCTTTAATAAAGATAGGATTTTGTGGGGATGTTAGTGTCCCTTGTCATCCTGAACTTTTTTTCTTCTTAAATCCTTCGGTTTTGTTTAAATCCACACTTTAGTGCCACAAACTCTGCTCCTCTGGCTCTCGCTCTAACTCCCGCTCTGATGAACTGCTCTGATTGGTCAGAGCGCGGCCGAGCCCCTCTGTACACGTGCGTGAGACCCATGTGAGACCCACACACGCGTGTTTGGCGCAATGCATTATGGGAGATCATCCACTGCACAGAACCGGGAGGACCAGACGATGCCCAAATACAGGCGAGTTTCCCATAGATCTTTGAGAGTTTCCCATAGATCTTTGCGAGTTTCAGGCAACTTCCGCTAATCTTTCAGCCCCCATGCCGTCACAAAGCGCCACTGAGCACAACCATTCATTTGAATAGGGCGCCATCTTGGATCGCCGGGGCTTGGCTCTACTGGAGCAACCCAAAATGGCCGCGAGTGGTCCCGCCCACAAGAAAATTGTGAAAAAAACGCATCTGCGCATGCGTCAGCCGGCGCAACTCCATTCATTTGAACGAGAGACTTAAAAAATTCACAGTAAGTAAACTAGAGTGGACCAAAACAATCCACCCCCCTCAGCATTGACAAAGTTGGCTCTTTGGGCCAAGAGCCAACTTTTGGTCCATCCTGTAAAGACGTTTTTGAGAGGTCTGCCAATGCTATATGTTAGCATTGGCTAATTCTACTTCTGGGTCCACCCCCATCGGCCCGGGGTGGTATTGCAAGCATGTCAGCGCACGTCATTTTGGACACTTTTGAGCTGGGACCCTCCCCCACTGGCCATCACACACTGCACCACACACTCCTCTACGAAGTGTGCATTTGTTTAAAGTGCACGCAAGGGTTTGAGTGCACAGGTTACAAACATGCATGCAAAAAAGGTGGAATTGGGATAGTGCAGGTTACGTCATCGACTAGTCAAGAGATGGTCAGTTTCAGACCTAAACTATATAAAACATTATAGGTCATTTCGTACGACCCTGTGGGAAACAAAAGTATTATTTAATGTGTTGCTCCACACACGTTAAAATAAATGTATATATTCGTAATTTGAGATAGTTACCCACATTTAACAATTATACAGCAAACTGTTATCTGGTAAGTTTTTATACATCTTAAGTTTATTGTAGTAAATGTAAAGTTTAAATTGAATGTTATATGAATGCTTGCATTAAAAAAGTTATGAAATTGTTAGCATAGAATGTCCGTAATTCTTCATCAGACATTTTTGCTTCTTTCCATATAGCAAAGCTTTTCAACACACACACACACACACACATATATATTTCAAAACTTACACTTTTATGCATTTTCCCGACGTTTTGGAGTGTACCGCAAAGAATGGGCAATATCCTTCGCCAGAGTCGCTTAGATGCAGGCTCAGGGGTGCAAAAGGGTGGGACGAAAAACCTTCCTGGAGAATTGGGACACCCTAAGCACTCGCACCCATCATCTGGAACGCGATGAGGGGCACTAGGGTGAAAGTGCGAGTGTTGGGACAGGGCCATGTTTAGTCCTGACTCTGGGCTCTGGGCACCAGCTGGAGGCCAGACCCTGTGCCCCTCAGAATCCAAGTTGGCTCATATGTCACTAACATGTCACAGATGTACTTTGGTGCGAGGCCATGGAGAGACTTGTACACAAGCAGCTGTTTTAAAGTCTATTCTCTGAGCCACAGGAAGCCAGTGCAGAGACCTGACTCTGCACGACTTCCTGGTTCTAGTCAGGACCAATAAGGTCTCAGTTTAAAGCATCCTAAACAAAAATAATCCACAGGGAAGTTGAAAAAAATTGCCCTATCATCACAACGGACCATGTGCTGAATACACTTTGGCCTCAAATGCACCTTATTAACAGTGCATCCATTTCTTTAGGTCAATATGCGTAAGTAAAGTAATACTTTAGACCTACAAAAATACAGAAGGCAACTGTTTCCTTTTTCCTTCACAAAAGAAGCCGAGGCCATGTTGTTGTTTGAGGTTTATTACGTCTTTTCTATTTCACTAAAACAGTTATAATTCCTGAGTCTTGATTGATGAAAAGCACTGGTTCATTTTACATTCATAATCAAAGTACAATATTCTTTGCCTATCCTTAAACTCTGACAATGTTCCTCTGTGGTACTTTGTGTAAAAAGAGAGATCTGACTTAAGCATTCACAATCTCCTTAATGGTGAGGTACCAAACTTTCATAAACAATACATTTTATCCCAAGAGTAAAAGTGAAAGTTGTGAAAAAATCAGACTGCCTTTGTCTTATTAGAACACATTTCCTCTTTTGCATACTTGTAAGAACGAGCCTTGTGAGTCACTCTGACACGTTGAGCTGAGGCAAGAGTGGACTTCTCTTTATCACTTTTCAAAGGCCAAAATATCCCTGTGATAAACTAGATATAAAACCAAACAGTATTTCAAGTTTGATCTCTGCTGGATCTCTGTCATGTTTTGCCCCTTTTTTTGTCTCAAAGTCTCATAAAAAATTTTCAGTGATTCCTGGATAAAATAAATTATAAAAATGTTAAATAATGTTGTGAGGTTTATCAGTTTCTGAAGTGAAATATTTTTTTTCAAATGTTTAGTTTTAATTGTGTTGAGCAAAGTCATTTGCTTAAATGGTTAGCCTCCAATGTGCCTTCAAACTATTAAAGCTGGGGTACCTAATGTAAAAAAGATTCTTTAATAAATAATACATATTGTCCCAAACAAAATGTGAATAAATCAGACCTGCTTTTTCTTATTAGAAAACATGTTAATTTATGTATAAGAAAATGCCTTGTGAGTCACTATTTAACACTTTTGGCTTAGAGCTGATCGGGATGATCCTGTCAGAATCAGAATCAGAATCAGAATATTATATTATATTATATTAATATTATATATTATATTATTAATATATTATATTTATATTTTTTGTGTCTAAAAAAGCTGATCTAAAGATGTGACCAAGATGAGGCCAAAAATACATGTGAAACTAGTGATGGAACCAGTGTTGAGAGCGATAAAGTAGTTTGGGTTCGTTACATACTGAATCTTTAGGTACCCCAGCTATAATACTTTTCAAATCTCCTGCATGGTAAACGGAAATGTATCATCTCTAAATCATAAGTGATCCAATCCCTTTACACCTGCACCTGATCTTGGCTCTGACCACACACCACCCCAGCGTCTTCATAGTGTGCACAGTTATGCTTCTCCAATCCGGCGTGTTTACAGTCCAGCAGCGTGGCCTCCGTCCCCTCGCACTGCACATCATCCAGGACAATAGGAAAATGTCTACCCTCCCCAAACTCTGAGTTCTTAGCTGCTTTGAGGGCGTGCCTGTACCCCAGCTGTCTACAGACCACCGCTGCATTACTAATAGTCCAAAGATCATCGCACACGGTCCCCCACTGTCCATTCACAAAAACTTCCACTCTGCCCTGGTCTATGCGGCCATCTTGCTCCCCCGCCAGTCTCACCGCTCCGTCCAGAACAACTGGCTTGCTCTTCTTGCGTTTAGGTTTTCTCCTGGTGGTTTTTGGTTGTTTAGTGGAAGTTGTCGTAGGCAGTGGAGTTGTGGAGTCCCCGCCGAGTTCACCCATTTGGTCGATGAGCTCCTGCAGCCAGTCGTAAGGCTTTGTGGGCTTTGCTTCAGGCTTGTTTTTAGTTAATAGATCAATACCAATTGGCACTGAAAGGAGGAATAGAGACAATCATTATAGCAAGCAACTACAATCTTTTAATGATATAAAATCTTTATCAGTTGTGGGAAACGAAATAAGAACCATTTTGAGTTGTACAGCACCCATAGATACTTTGCCTCCATCCAGTGGAAAAGATTCAGCCGTCATCGACCTGTGAAAAGTTGCTGATTCTTTCTTTTCTGAGGCTGGCAGTATTTATTGGTGAAGCCCATGACGTTGAAAAGGTATCAATGCTTTTAAGCATTTTTATTAGTCCATTAAAATGTATAATAAGACTTTTTACTTAGTTATACAAAGATATTCTTACTCTTTGTGGGATAAAATGACGATACAATTAATACATAATGTTTTCCCAGATGACTTGGAAGATCTTTCCTGGACCATATCTACAGTACAGACCAAAAGTTTGAACACACTCTCTCATTCAATGAGTTTCTTTTCATGACTATTGACATTGTAGAGTCACATCCAGGCTGTGTAAGGGCTATTTGACCAATAAGGAGAGCGATGGTGCTGGGTCAGATGACCTGGCCTACACAGTCAGCAGACCTGAACTCAATCGAGATGGTTTTTGGGTGAGCTGGACCACAGAGTGAAGGCAAAAGGGCCAACAAGTGCTAAGCACTGTGAACTCCTTCAAGACTGTTGGAAGACCATTTCAGGTCACTACCTCTTGAAGCTCATCAAGAGAATGCCAAGAGTGTGTGAAGCAGTAATCAGAGCAAAAGGTGGTTACTTTGGAGAATATAAGACATATTTTCAGTTGTTTCATACTTTTTTTTTTTTTACGTACATAATTCCACAAGTTAATTCGTTTTGATGCCTTCAGTGTGAATCTATCCATTCATCCATCTATTTTCTTCCGCTTCATCCGTTGCCGGGTCGTGGGGGCAGCAGTCTAAGCAGAGACGCCCAGACTTCCCTATCCACACACACTTCCTCTAGCTCGTCCGGGGGGACCCCAAAGCGTTCCCAGGCCAGCTGAGAGACATAGTCCCTCCAGCGTGTCCTGGGTCTTCCCCGGGGCCTCCTCCCGGTGGGACGTGCCCGGAACACATCCCCAGGGAGGTGTCCAAGAGGCATCCCGAACAGATGCCCGAGCCACCTCAACTGGTTCCTCTCGACGTGGAGAAGCAGCGGCTCTACTCCGAGCTCCTCCAATGTGTGACTGAGCTCCTCATCCTATCTCTAAGGGAGCGCCCAGCCACTCTGCGGAGGAAGCTCATTTCGACCGCTTGTATCCGCGATCTCGTTCTTTCGGTCATTACCCAAAGCTCATGACCATAGGTGAGGGAGGGAAAGAAGATTGACCGGTAAATCGAGAGCTTTGCCTTTCGGCTCAGCTCCCTCTTTACCACAACGGTCCGATACAGCGACCGCATCACTGCGCACGCTGCACCGATCCGCCTGTCAATCTCACGCTCCATTCTTCCCTCACTCGTGAACAAGACCCCGAGATACTTGAACTCCTCCACTTGAGGAAGGACCTCTCCACCCACCTGAAGAGGGCAAGGCACCTTTTTCCGGTCGAGCACCATGGCCTCGGAAGTGTGAATCTACAATTTTTATAATCATGACTCTTTGAATGAGAAGGTGTGTCCAAACCTTTGGTCTGTACTGTATATAATTAATCTATTTTTCCCTTAAAAACATAAAATGTGTCCCAACTAATTCTAATCAATAAATCAGACCTGCAGACTGATCTTATCTCATCTACAGTAGTTAAAAAACATGTTATCTTTTGCATAATTGTAAGGAAGAGCCTCGTGCGTCACTAATTGATGCTTTGGGATAAGAGCTGATGTGTCTATGCTAGGGCAATCCTCTCTTTTTTTCTTTGTCTGAAAAAGCTGATCTATAGATGTGACAGAAGCCAAAAATACATGCATATTGAACCTAACTGGTTTGAGAGGGAGGAACTGTCATATATTGTCATATATATTCCAAGTGAAAAACTACGCAGTCTGGACTAAAAAAAAAACTTTCTGAATTTCTGCAGAATCAACAATCGAAGCTGCATAAACTCAGTTTGATTTGCCAATAAAAAATTAAAAAAACAGTATGTTGAGCCAGGCTATTGATCCAAAGCTGTATAATTACCTTCTTGCGGGACAAAGTTGATGACGTTGCTTTTGACTTTGACTGGAAGAGGCTCATAGTGGCAATGTCTTGGCGGAGCTCGTCTACAAACCAAACAAATACGAATAAACATTTGAACAGAAGCCATATATCTTAATTACAAGTTTGAACAGACTTTTCAATGCATGGCTTTTCACTCAAACCAAATCAAAACACTAAAGTTGAATTGAGTTTGATTGCTGGAAAACAAATGAGGTGGCACATTGGGGAGCAGGCTGAACTGAGCCAAGAGCTGTCTGCAAAAATTTCAAGTGGGCGTTTTTAGAAAGACAGGATTTTAACATTGCTGCCAACAACACGTCACTTCTTTTCTTAAGCAAAACATTGAAAAACATGAATGTTGAGCAAACATGAACGGGAGAAAGTGATGTAGGGTAAAGGCAAACTTGCTCCTAGCCTTACATGTCCTGGGGGTTTTAGAGAATGACAAGTCTGCAATACTCCGCAATTGAAAACATGTGTGTCCCAAAGAGTTCAAAGCCACTATCCTCAAAATGTTACCACACTATTAACATTGGAAAGTGTTTGAAATCCTATTTGTTGCTGCTTACCGCGACGGGTCGACGATTTTGTACACAACTCCAGTCGGTGAAGTGGCGCTTGGTATCCCAGTGGACATGAAGTATAGCTCGCCTGGTGGAAAGACATTACATCAGGAGACAAGGTTACATAAGAAACATTATCTGAGAAAAAGGCTGGAGTGAAATCGTGAAAGTTTAGTTTTTAGGTTTCAGAGATGATCAATCATGCTTTCAACACAGGTTGATTCCAATTACACTCAGTTTTGCAATTACTGTACCTTGAGTCCTCAAAGTTTTGATCCCAGACTGAAATCAATAGGGCTAAGTATCTTTCAGAGCCTCGATTTGATACAAAAATGATTTTTGATACCCTACTCTAACAGTCAAAATATATTTAAAAAAAATATCTATATATATTATTCATGTTACATATTATTCATACAATCTGTAAAAAAAAGAAACAAATTGTGAAAATAAACAAAAACATGTTACATCTAATAGAAAACTACATATATTGTTTGTTTATATTGTGCATTTGTACAGACCAAAGTCACCCAAAGAACTTTACAATGTTCATACTATAAATTATAATATACTGGCTGAAAGGGAAATATACAGTTAGAGATGACTAAAAAGCGTAACACTTACCTAGAGGGAAATAGAAAATGACACACTTTGGTCTTAATCTATAGACAATCATGTACAGTACAATGGATAAGGAAAGATCTAGTGTTAGAACCGACATATTTAGTGTAAAATGGGATTGTATTACCTCAGCCAGATTATTATGGGCAGATGTTTACGAAATATTCAGTGAACACACAAGATCTGTGTGAAAAAAAGGTCTTTTCTTATTTTTCTAGTTATGTATGAAACATGTGAAATCCAATAGTCCAACACAAACTTCATTTAAAATGCATAGATTATTGCATTATTTATGAATTCTCTGAAATACAATTAGATAAAAACCAAGGACAGTCTTACCCAAACTCATTCCAAACACAACCGATGAGAGTCAATCTGTGTTTTATTGAAATAGAGAAAGGTAGCATTTTAATCTAAATAGGAATCAATTTTGTAATTTGATTTGACTATTTTGTCTGAACAGCTATTGCCAGCAGGTTGTAACTAATGTACATGCTATTTAAACACCACAACACAATTGTGATGGTAAATCATAAACATGTACTGTATATATAGATAATTTCCTTTCACAAGATTTATTTTCCTGACTCCTGCGCTTGTGAGAGAGTAGCTGCAGTACCGGCTTCGTCCTCTGCAAAGGAGATGATGTACTGATGGTAGTTGTTGATGAGTCCAGGAAAGGCACAGGTCAGACCCAGGCCCATGCAGACCTCGTTATAATGCCACTGTCCACTCCTCCGGTCCTCACGCAGACTCATCAGACGCCTGGAGAAAAAAAAGACAAATGTTGGTAGTCAGATTATTCAAACGCAACAAAATAGAGCTGGAGGAAGTGTGCATTAAGAAGGAAGTCTGCAGCCTGGTTTTCATACTAATATATTGTATCAGTGTGGTCCCTGTGTGCTCTTACTACTGTCCTGTATGTGCGCTGCAACATTGAAATTTCCCCACTGTGGGACAAAAAAAGGTTCTCTTATCTATAGAAAGGCTAGGAAGTCTGTGTGTCTCTGCATATACCGCCGTGCTTGAATTTATGATAATTTGTTTTAACTATTTTTAATATTGTTGAAAATTGTTTTACAAAGCAACAATGAATTAGTACTCTTGAGTATTATTTTAGCCATGGAAGAGTATCTTTACTTGTGAACAAATTTTTTTTCACCATCAGAATCAGAATCATTTTTATTGCCACGTAAGAAACAGGAGGTCACAGACTTGGAAATTGCTTTGACTCAGTGCAACAGTCAGAAAGAGATAATAAAAATAAAGAATAAAAAACGGAAAAAGGAATACATTTAAAATTAAAATTAAAATAGAGTTACAATTACTATATACAATACACAATACAGTGCACATAGTGCACACAATGTAAGGTGACAGCAGTACAGTGAGGTAAAGTGACTTATGATGGGCAGTAAAGTGACTTTATAAAGAGCAGTAGGGGACTTCTAGAGGGCGGGGAGGTTAAGAAGTGTTCAAGAGTCCAACAGCAGAGGGAAAGAAACTGTTCTTGTGGCGGGAGGTTCTAGTCCTGATGGACCGTTGTCTCCTGCCTGAGGGGAGTGGTTGGAATAGTCCATGTGCAGGGTGAGAGGGGTCGGCTGTGATACGACCAGCCCGGCCTCGAGCTCGGGCGACGTACAGGTCCTGCAGCGATGGAAGGCTGCGGCCGATAACTTCCTCTGCAGAGCGCACAATGCACTGTAGTCTCTGTCCCTGACTGTGGCTCCAGCGAACCAAAATTAAGACGGGCCTTCGAATGGCAAGCACTATTGTCAATTTACACTGATTTTCTTTCATTTAAATTTGTGCCTAATTAATGCCTAATACAAATTTTCTAGCCAGGAAAACCATCCTGGCTATTTATTTGAACACAATAAAGCTAATAATTTAGTCATTTACTGGCATGGAGAACTTGAAAGCATGTTCAAAATTGATTCAATTAAATAAGTACATGGACATGGGATGGCCACAGCACAGAGCAATTGAGAGGAGAGAAGCGCTGGATCGAAGAGTGTTTGGCCCTGTATGAATGAGTGTCTTGTCTTGTCTCATCAGTGGTTGTGTATTGTATTGTATGCTATGTGTTTTGTGGAAATGCGCTGCATGATATTGTTTTTGTATTATATTGTATTGTATTGTCTGAATGTACAAGAGGGGGATTTGAATAATAAAAGCATATGTTTCATCCCTTTTCAAACCATGTACAGTACATGTATTTTTTATACAATTTTGTAAAAATGTTTAATCACCTAATCATTATAAATTAATCATCATCATGTTTTTTCATACCCACTCATGAAGTCTCCAAAGATGTACATGCCGTTGAGGTTTGGATATTCACAGCCTCTGTACACGTATCCTCCGGTCACCGACTTCCCCTGTTTGTGTGGGTATGCGTAGATGGGCAAGACGTCATCTATGGAGAAATATGTGAAAGTGAGCATGTGTTCAGCTCAGAAACACATAATGCCCAAACCTGCACAGAGATGGAGAAACAAGCCTTTGTATATGCAGCTCCTTGTGCTCGAACATGCTACATTTTAAATTTCTTAAAATTGAAATCAAGAGATAGAGATTTTGAGACTGGCAGGCCAAAATAAATAGGTATTGTCGCAAGCAAAGGGCAAATATTATTTGTGTTGCATAAAAAGTTAATATGCAAAGATATTCTACTAAATTGTCTTTAATCAAACCTCCAAAACATCTCACTAAATCGACTCAGGCAGGCCCAAACTGAGTGAAATAATAAAAATGGTTTGATGCATCAAGATCATTTGCCAAATTATAGGACACTTGAAACATTGATTATGTCTTCTTTGGCTTAAGGCTTAAATGTGTGTTCTATTAATAAGATAAAAGCTAGAACTGTATTTTATGACTAGAAAATTATATAATGACTGGGTCCATGGTTGAAATGAAGAAGCTGGGCACACGGACCATCAACAGAGACCTGGGACTCACTTCTGCAGAGTCCACAGCGTGGTGGGAGGCGGGGTCAGTCTGATGGATCTGTCTGTCTGTCCGCATCCAGTAACAACAGCTGATACGCCATACACCACCCAAACATGTGGTAATTAAGTAGTACTAGCTTCTTTATTCTGTATCTGTTGTAAAGCCCAAAATGGTGAGTGTGACACAAACAGTAACTGAGCTAGAAGAGTTGCAATGTAAGTCAATAGGAGCCAGAGAAATTTACTCCCTGCTTGTCCTCGAACACTTCTTTTGGCTTCATTGATGTAGGGAAGTGGTTCTCAAACTTTTTACACCAAGTACCACCTCAGAAAATACTCGCCTCTCCAAGTACCACCACAAATGACCAACACTATACAGTCTCGTAGTAAGCCTAAGTTAATCAAAAACAAGGCATAGGTTCCAATCCTACAGAAGTATATTTAACATTGTCAGCCATTGTAACATTTTACGCAGTTTCAACGGTAAGGCTGCGCATACATATAGGAAAAAATAAAATAAAAACTGTACTTAAATAATTATTCAATTAAAATGTTCAATTCATTACCAACTGCAAAGCCTTGACTCACCACTGTGAATTAAAATCGAGTGGTATGGCCTTCTTTGTCTACCAGAAAGTTTGGACACTGATTTGGACACATATGTTGGTTTGCAATCAAAGGATCTTTTGTTGCTCTCTGTTCCTTTTGCACAGAACTGGGAAAAAAATCTTTTGTATATGCTGCTCCTTGTTGCAAAAAGACTGGAAATTATCTGAACTTATTTCATTGAATGAGTTTAGATCCAGATTGAGAGCACTTGAGACAACCCCATTGAAGTGTAACTGTTTTTATAATCCGTAATTTCATGAAATTGTATGTGACTGTTTTCATAATCTGCAATTGTATGTAACTGTTTTATAATCTGTAATTGTATTCAACTTTTGTCCAGGACTCCCTTGAAAAAGAAGTTCTTAATCTCAATGGGACTTTCCTGGTTAAATAAAGATAATTTATTTCAGTGATTCTTTGGCATACCACTAGAGGTACGCGTACCACACTTAGAGAATCACTGACCTAGGGGGTTGGCATTGTCCCTCTCTATACTGTCTATGATTCTATAAAATCAAGCCAGATGATTTAGAAAGAATTAAAATAGCATAAGAGTTGTACTGATAAAGCGGAAGCAGTTTAGACTGTGTCAGACCTAGTGTAGAGTTGTGGCACAGCTTCTTGTCGTAGCAGGAGAACCCCTCTTTCGCCCTCCAACCGTAGTTCCGTCCCTTCTCGATGATGTCCACTTCTTCATATTTGTTTTGTCCCACGTCTCCACAGAAGATCCGTCCCCTCCCCTCTCTGGTGTGAGGATCCCCCCTGTCCACAGAGCACCTCCACATGTTGCGAACCCCGAAAGCAAAGACCTCTGGCCGCGCCCCTCTCTCCTGCACAAAGGGGTTATCGGGAGGGATCCTGTACAACGGCCCTTTGTCGTTGTGGTCCACGTCAATGCGCAGGACCTTGCCTAACAGAGCAGACCTAAGGGGAAATATTTAATAAAAAATAAATGTTTTATTAAATCAAAACTTTAAGACAAGTTAATTTGTATAGCACAGTTCACGCACAAGGCAACTCAAAGTACTTAACAAAACAAGATAGAGACGATCATATAAGGCTTTGATTTGGTCATTGTCCTTTTTTGTTGTTCCTTGCCGATGCAGGAGAGTCTTATGATCCAGGATATTTAAGACAACATTTGTATTACCCTTTATGCACAGTGGTCAAATGTTATTATTGCATTTCCTGTGTTAGAAGTGTTTTATTCTTTAATCTATTGTTTTCTATTGTACAAATTTGTAAAGTGCTTTACGATGACTGCTATTGTGATACTATGTAATTCAATTTTAATTCAATTGAATTACAATTATAAATAATCACAGTACATTAAAAAGAGTGAAGATACAATTCTTCAGACTTTAAATGCATAAATATGAAATTAATCACATAATTTCATCCTTAACTGATGATCAATTGCAATTATATTGCCATATTTTATTGAACAGCTTAGTATCACACAAGCACAATGAACAAGGTGCCATACACCACAATACTTGACACAGCTCACATCTTTTGAAGTGGAAAGACAGTGGCGGGGCTGATTTCAGAGATTTTTGCCACACAGTAACGCATCTTTCAGTCACAATACATTTTATTTATTGTGTATTTTGTTGTACATGTTAATGAACACATCACTCCGGATTGTAGCCATGGGCTAATTTGCATCCGTTGTCCCACATTCGCACTCACAAACACACACTCATTCACCCTGAACTATTGCACATGTTTTTAGTGGTAGGGGAAACCGGAGAACCTGGAGGAAACCTACGCAGACACAGGTAGAACATGCAAACTCCACTCAGAAAGGCCCTGTTCCGACCAGGATTCGAACCCAGAACCTTCTTGCTGAGAGGCGAAAGTGTTATCCACTCATCCACTGTGCCGCCCAAATACTACTCGCATTAATCGTGTGATAAAACAAAATTACGGTTTGCGTTAACGCTGTTATTAACTCATATCTGTCAGAACTACTATATAGAAATCCTTACTTGTTTTGTGCATTTCCAAATTTCCCGAAAGGGTCTCCTGCCATTCCTCCGTCCCCTGTGAAAATGTACAGGTATCCATCTTCTGCAAACAAGAGTTGACCCCCGTTGTGATTGGAAGCTGGTTCGTCTATTTCCAGAATAACTCTAAAAAGTAAGTGACAGTAAAAGTAAGTCATCTTTATATTTTCACATGTGTCCCAAAGTCACATTAACATTCGGGTATTAATCAGTCAGTCTACACTGCACTGTAAACATGGATGGTTGTTGCCATGGCTGCCCTAGGGAAGGAAGTGAGTATACTGAAGAAAGTGAGGCTGTCAAATGGTGCCACGGGTCCTCCCGGAAGCTCCGGTCATACCAAATAATTTACTCACATACCAGGTTAATAATAATAATTACCACAGAATGCAGAAAATGAGCAACATGCAAATTGCCGGATGGTAAGACCTTTTGGGCTTCTATTGGATTTCTAGGCACCGCCAGGAGCTGAGGGAGACTAGTTTTGGGACCACAGGATTTCATCTCTGCTTTTTGCAGATGTTACCCAACCAGGACCTCCGACCTGCTCTGGGGCAGATTGAAGCAGAGTGTGCAGCAGAGCTGCAATCAGCTCCTCCAACTCCGAGGCCGGGAGCCTCTCTCATCAGCCAAACCTGGCTAAGACCCAGGACATGCTGAAGATGAAGTCCAACAACTGGAATGTGTATGCCACAGGATTCTGCTGAAGAGCTGGTGGATTGTCTTTCTTTTGTTGGGATTAATGTGTGGAGTGAGTTGGACCAAGAGCTAAAAGACTGTAAAACCTTAATTCAATTTAAAATTCTTTTGAAGAAATCAATTATAAAAAAATACATTGAGAATGGACGCTAAGGATGCAAACTTAAGATGATAGATTGTTTTTCTTTCTTCTTTGTGACGATCTAAAAACAAAAATTGTATAACTACTTGCATAAGACATTGGCAGCTTTACTGTTTATGTTTTGTAAATACTCTGGGATAGGCGCAATAAGCTTTAGCTTCTGCCTATTCCATTTCAGACTTTATGTTTATTTATCATCTGTTTGGCATCTGTTGAATGTTTGAATGTCTGAATAAAAAATAATCTGAATCTGAATCTGAAGTGTGGGTAAAGAGACGTCTGCCCCTGCTTCTGAGCAGTGGATAAAACGGAATAAAATTGATGGTTGATGGTAAAAATTGGCAATCAAAAAAGTGTAATTTATCTATTTTATTTGAGTATAATGAAACTCTATGAACATCTGGGTTAATAATGTTCTGGGTTAATCTGGGTTTCTGGGTTAATATCAACCTGTAAATTGTTTACATCCATTGAAAGACCCAATCAGCATATTGACTTAAGCAATATCTTTAGCCAATACCTGATATAAAAAAAAATATTAGAGACCAGTGCCTCCTCATAGGGAGCTACAATTCTGTTTTACACAGGCAGTTGTGGTTATAGTAGTAACTTATAGTATTAGTAAAATTTAAAGCAGATAGAACAATTGAAAGACAATTATATGTTTGTACCCGTGTCCCCATACGTACCTCTCAGAGCGATGGTCCACTGTATTCATATCATGCGGCGAAACACGAAACTCACTAATCCGTATCCGCTCATCAAATCCCACTTCTATTGAGTAATACACATACAACTTCCCATTGTGCTTGTGCCTGGGGTGAAACGTCAGCCCAAGGAACCCTCTCTCATCACCCTCCCAAGACGATGTCAGCACTGATTTGCTAATGTTCAAAAATGGCTTCTCCAACTTGGATCTATCAGGAAGGTATACCCACACCACCCCCACTTGCTCAGCCACAAAAAAGCGGTGCGTTCCATCATTCGCGTGAACCATGGCCAGCGGATTCCTCAAACCGTTGGCCACTTCTTCAAGGCAAATTTGCAAACAGCCATCTGAATCGTATTTCACATGACCGAGGTTCTGGCTGAGTTGTGAGCTGCTGAGGAGGTGCGGGTAGCAATAGTCTGTGTCCTCCAATTCGAGATATCGGCAAAGGCGCCTTTGGTCTCCATTAATTTTGCTTATGTGTGGGTCATCTGAGAGGTGCGGGATGGTGGCGTTGCATCTGTTCCAAAACTGGGAACAGTAGTCAGGACAGAGGCCTGGGATGGTACGCACCGGGGTGCTGGGGTCCTCTGCGTCAAAGAGGTGGGCAGCGTACGGAGAGCATTCCTGGAACAATATCAGAATTAGTCTCAATCTAACTTGATTTCGATCCGGACAGTACATTTATTTTATTTTCTTTAAATAAAAGGTTAGTCTAGCGCTTCTAAATAATTAAGTTGCTATAATTTCTTATATGGAATGAAAGTTCAGACTGGAAGGCCGAAAACTCTTTGTGCACATATGATCACCTACAAACTCCAGATCTCATCTATCCAGTCCTCCCACTGCTACCTATGCATGAAAAAAATAAAAAAATAATAAATCACCTTTTTGATTTTAGTTAAAGATCAAACTCTATGAACTTCTGGTTTATTATCAACTTGCAAATAGTTTATACATGTGTATCAATTTGTTTTCAACAAATTCAACAGCCCTAATATGAACTTGTAAGAATCATATATGTTAGAACCATGTAAATCACTGATGACGCTTTGGACAGCAGATGGGCTGGAGCAGGCGTAATCCTCAGTGACGTTTGTGTAAGAAGCTGGTCTTGCATGCTAACCATGACGCTGTTGAAAAAAATAGGTTCCCCAGCTTTAATATATTTGTACCAAAAAAAAGACTCTTTATTTGTGAGAGGTGCTACGTGTTATTTAGTGAAGGGATCACAGTAGTTCAACTTTCAGCACGCAATAGAAGCAGAGGACTACAGTTTAAACTTTTAGTGCAGGCTCTTGGACATTATTTTGGACTCCGCAGCCCCCCGACCTTTGTCCAGGCTTGCATGCTCAAAACAAACTCTTTACCTGACAAAGCAACTCCTGCACGAAGCCTGCACAAGAGGCGAAACCATCGTAATCCAAGTGATTCATGATTCTGTAATATTTTCCCATCAGCTCCTGATCTTTTTGGTAGTCACAGCAGCCGAAGTCCTTGTACATTACGCAGAACTCAGGCTCTCTCAGCGGGCGAAATGGTGGCTTGAAGTCTAAACACTGTGGATGTAAGAGCGCAGGTGAGATCCAGAGAGCCAGAAAACACGCGATGCCATGGGGCCAGAACAGCCGCACGTTCCCCGGGGCTTTACCACCAAACTCCCGCATCGTGGCGTGGCCGTGACCATGGAAGGAAAGCGGCGCTCTGGCCTCTTCCTGTGCGCACTTTGCCCTGACTGCAGTGATCTGTGTCCTCGGTCACCCCCGGTCACTGTCCACGGGATCAGGAGGCGTATGTGCGTGGTTCAGCCAGAGGACACATGTGCGCTCAGAACGGGAGGGAGAGAGGGTGTAGCGAGCCATGTGAGGATGTGGTAACAGATATAAAGAGACAACTCTAACTCTCCCAGTTATTGCTGTGATATGTCATCAATTAACATGTTTTATTTAAGTTCACTGCATCAAACACTATTAAAAAGACATCGTCCATGTATGTCATATTGTATCCTTCTTTGTCTACAGTGGGAAATCTTTGATCCAGAGACATCAAGCACATGTAATTGCCAGGAGAGGGAGACATGTTCTATAAGAGTTTCACGCACTGACCAACATGGTTTGGGCTTGTGAAAATGAGAGCTTGTTTCCCTTTGATGTCGTCAATGTTGGTTTAGATATGCCTTCAAACCATAATGTCAGATATAAATGGGAAGAATAAACATATATAATGACATGTAACTGACATATCCAACAGGTCTGCTCGCTCCTGTCAGGAGAGGGCGCTATGCTTTCATTTACCACAGACGACAGTATGTTTGGGGGCCTCCCCCTCGGATGTCCCCTCCCATCCCTCTGCTGGACACCGGCTTTACTGCGTGCCTCTCGTGCTTGCCGTCTCCAGGACGATCACACACTGCGCCGCTGCTGGACTCGGGTCAGTGCTTCACAGCCTCCGCGGACTTCATTGACTCTGAGCTGGAATGGAGCTGCTCTTTATTGCAACGTAACCACAGTTCTTCTGAAACATTCTTCTGGAGGTTTGAACTATGGACGCGGCAGACATGAGTCAGCTGCCCGATGAGGAGCTGTTGATGCTGGGCAAAGAGGAGCTGGTGCTCCGGCTGCGCAGGTTGGAGAGCCGCCACATGGAACTGATGCTGGAACACGGACACATGATGAAGGACGTGAACCGCAGTCTGCAGGTGCATCTGCACGAAGTGCGCAGCCTGAAGGAGGTCAACCAGAAGCTGCAGGACGACAACCAGGAGCTGCGGGAGCTCTGCTGCTTTCTGGACGATGACCGACAGAAGGGTAAACGGGTGTCCCGGGAGTGGCAGCGCTTCGGCCGCTACACGGCCAGTGTGCTGTGGAAGGACGTGGGGCTGTACCAGCACAAGCTGCGGGAGCTGGAGGAGGCGCAGGAGTCTCTGCGAGCAGAGAACGCGGAGCTGAAAGAGATTGTGCTCATGTTGGACGAGGAGCGCAGCGGAGCCGGCTCTCGCAGCTCCATAGACAGTCAGAACAGCTCTGGGGGGGTTCGGGATGTAGGAGACGGCAGTAGCACCTCCAGCACCGGCAGCGCGGGCAGTCCAGACCACAAGAGCTCAGAGGCCAAGATGGCATCACTGCGGAGGTCCATGGACGAGCTGTGCAGAGGACAGGGGCTCAGCGGTGAGAGACGCGTCATTATGTGTTTAATGAGACAAGACAGAACTGTTGCCAAATGATAAAGGATTAGAGATACGTCTATTGTGCTGCCATAAAGAAGCCGTTACGTTCTAATACATGAATTACAGCTGTAGATCAGGTTGAAGACCAGAGATAAGACAAAGTTGAGTCTGGACGAGGTTCTTTTGGATTGATGATGAAGTTTATAAGCTGAAGTCTTCCTCATTAGACCACAGTATCTTTGCTCTGTTTGAAGTTTGTCATATTTTTAACTATTTCCCAGTATGATGGGAATCTCAGCCACAGGAGTGCATTTTATTTGATCACGGCTCATGTGGCAGCCTTAATGTTACACAAACACCGGTCTTTTTAGGCCTGAGAGACGTGTCCTGTTCAGTTGGTTAATTTGTACAGTAGAAAAAGACAAGTCTTGTACTATGGCTGCAGTATGGCAGCTCAGCAAACACACCGTGTCTACACAAAGGCACTGCAGATGTAAACTTTGATGTATGTTTTATTTACCATTATTAAAGACTTGCCTTTCGACAGAAGTACATCCAAACATGGGCAATATTTACGCGTGACTTTGTTTGTCGTCACCGCAGCTATTGTCCAAAGCAAACACCACGAGGCGATGTCATGAACACTGTAAACCCTGACAAGTAAAGTTTACTTGAAAAAACCATGGAAATAAATTGCGTATTAACTTCACTTGAATTCCTCGAGTACATCCTTTACTTGATATTACCAAGTAAACTCGAGTGATTGCAATAAAGTTTAAACTTTTACTTATGCTCCGACTGGGATTCGTACTCACAACCCTGTAGTTGAGAGGTAATGGTGCTACCCACTCAGCCACCAAGACTCTACACATCAAAATGTCAAAAGTGAGGCTTACTTGAACAGAAACAGTTCAATTCAAAGAAAACCCTGAGTGACATAGGCAAGCTTTAAATAAACTAACAATAAATGAGTAATATCTACTTACTGGGAAAAATCTATTTAAAATAACTTTGATATCTGAAGTAGGATTGAAGTTAGGGTTTACAGTGAATGATCATTGTGACGTGTGAGTTTCTGTTACAGTCACAGCTTTGCAGGCTAAAAATAATGTATCACTTTATGTTAATATCAGCCTTAAAGTGTGACCTATTGCCTCATGATACACTGGAACATGTTTACCAAGAAGCACTGTCTATTAAGAAACAAAAAAGACAATTTTGTTTAATTTAGTGCATCCCTAAATCACAACAGCAGTCGTTTCGATCCGAGAATCAAAAAGTTCAACATAGGGAATGCAATTATAACAAACAGATAGGAGCCATTGGTCCATAGGGATGACCGAAATCCATAAATGAGTGCATAAATGGCCCTAAATGTTCTGGATTATCATGGGCTAAAACATTTAATATTCACAACAATACTACAGCTACTTGTGACCCAAATACCCATGCCAAATACGTGACTCAATTCACTTTCCACTGGACTGGAATAGTCTACATTTTACCACCTTCACAAGAGTACAATTGCAACTCATTTAGGTTAAGCATACACATACAGAAGAGAACCTACAAACAAAACATCTATAAACATTTATACTTTTATAGTAATTTTATATTTCATATTATTTAAAATAATAGAACTTGAATATACCTTTTCACATACACTTATATACACTGTATTCACCACATTCTTTGAGTAAAATATGTATGGTGATGTTGGCTGGAAAACAGTTAGAGATGGCTGGATGACACTGAACGTTTGTTTATGATCTCAAAAACAAATAATGTGTGTTGGCAAGGCAGAGGGCCACATAAAATGACAATCAGGGCCGAAATTGGCTCTCATAGGCCTTTGTTTTGGACATGGCTGATCTAACAATTCACCCTCAAAAATGGTTCTATCACTAGCTTTTGCATGCATCTATATATTTGGGCTCAGTCACAACTTCAGATCAACTTTTTCCAGACAGAAAAATGGAAAAGAGAGGACCACATTTTCTCAAGTCAATCATCACAAAGTGTCAATTAGTGACAGGACTCTTTCTTACAAGTATAACATTCTTTGAAATAAGATGAAGACAGCATGTTGTGGTCTGATCTGTTCACAAAATGGGACAAATGTGAGGAAAAATTGAAGAACCCCAACTTTAATTCTTATGGTATGAATAAAAAACTAGTCGACCACTGCACGTTTTGGTGTCATTCTTTCACGTAAGCTCTTCTCCTCATCTCACCGCGCATGTCCCCCTCAGTCACTTTGCAGCAAGCGCTCAGAGTCTCAGTCTAGAGGTCTGCAGCAGATGGCTCCGGTCTAATTACCCAGATCATCAGGCTGAAGTCAGACTAACGAGGATTTAGCACCGCGGCTTCATGTCAGCGCCGCTATAACTTCTGTTCTTCACACAGCTCAGTGAAACCAGTGGAAGGTTACACTGCTTGATGATGAGAAAACTAATCACAGTTATCTGGTGCATAGTGTTGTTGAGTGTGGACAAACATATCACTTCTTCAGTGAAATGTACAAAATTAACTCCTAACTAAAGCTAAGGAACTTTTATTTTTCATAAATAACACACTTTGTTTGTCCCAACAGAAAGTGTCTTGTGAAATGTTGTGAACTAATCAAACCACATCACGTTGTCTTCTTCTTATTAGAAAACACGTTAGTGTGTTTTATATTTGTAAGAAAGAACCCTGTGTTTAGCTGTTTGATGTTTTGGCCTGAGAGCTGAAAAACACATTCATGTGAAAATTAGTGATAGAACCAAATGTTTTGAGAAACAGTAATTATTATATTGATGGATTTTATATGTACATTTTTTGTCGTTTGAAAGTCAGGTATTCTGGCTTGAACAGAAAATCCCTTAAATTTCAGAATATGCAGGAGATACTTTTGTAATTTAACAACCCTTATGGATCAATTTAAGTTTGTGACATTATATAGAAATAAATAGAGGTTATATAGAAATATGTTTATTTTGTATTGCTTTGTTAGACTTTTGTTGGTGAGAAAACTGGCTTTGCACATGACTTTGAGTGACAGGAAATGTACTAGCAATAATTGATTGTATTGTTGAATAGAAATTTACATAATAATGATATATGCACTCTCCTGGATGGCGGTATTTTTAGCCTGTAGCACCATGATGAAGGGGAAACAAAATAGACTATTGCTCTACTGTGTCTTATTCCTTTATTTGTAAATACAAATACAATAAAAAGGGTTAAAATACTTGTAAACTTAAAAAATAAACACATTGACAGCTCTTCCTTTACGGAAGGTCAATGCATTGGGCACTATTGATTAAACTGAAGCACCATCCATCATAACCCTTTATAATATAGTATAGACTTCTTGCGGGTCACAGAAAGGAAATGATGTATTTGACGCTGTTCTGGATGATTTGAGTGTGCTAAAGTTTAGATTTACCAAATGAATATTGTCCTATAGAAATGTGAGGGGCCCTGTGATACCTGGTCTAACTCTCAAACTTATCAATAGGAGCAAGTTTCTATTTAAGAAAAGACTTTCAACACACGTCATTCTGCAGCTCTGAGTCTTTGTCTCCCAACTTTTTTGTTTTGAGCCAAAGTGATTCCTTCCTGTGTCTTTTCAAGCTGACGTGTCCGCTATTGTTCAGTTCTGTGTCAGATGTGAGAAAGCGGATATTTAATCAATAATTATTCTTAAAGTTAAGGAACAAGCATTGAAACGAGAAAAAAAACTCTAAACAACAGGGAAACAACTGATTATCTTTGTTTGGTTTTAAGATGCATTACAAAATATGTCTTGACAAAACATATCATGCTCCTGTTAAACTTCAACGTTGACGCAGTGGAAGAATTGCCCATATGAAAAATGTCTCCAGCTATCTTATATTCAAATGGACCTCTCCCGCATTAAGGCTAACACTATGGTGACATCAGCACTCGGCCCGTCCACTATGAATACACAGTCTATGGTTAGACAGTGGATGCCGATGTGGAGGCAGATGTGATGGATGAGGCCACAATGACTTTGGAGCTGATGGATGATGTATTGTACGGTGGAACTCGCCAGCCCCAGGACAGCAGCAGGGACAGAGGATGCAGCTGTGTTGGACTGTGCAGAAAAAGGCACCTTTTTCAATTTCTAATGTATACATAGAAATATAATTGAAATGTTTGAGTTAGTGTTGTTCACAAATGTACAAGATTTGGAGGCAAAGTTCATATGTTCATTTCAATTGCATCACAGCTCACAACTCATGCTTCACTCTGATTGGATATATGGAGAGGGCAAACATTAAGTTTCCTCCGCATTCTCCGGTTTCCCTTGCCACTAAAAACATAAAATTGTCCGTTGTAACACCCTCCGACCCCATTCCTGCCCTCTCTCTGGGGCCATAGGGCCCCTGAAAAACAGATTCTGAAACCTCGGACCTTCCCGGTTAAATAAAAGTCAATAATAAAAGCAATAGACATTTATATATGTATATAAACGTAAAATTGGAGAGCTTATTCTACAAGTATTCATGCAACGTGTTTTAAGTCTGTATGAAATCAATGCAGGCAAAGCTCTCGATTTACCGGTCAATCTTCGTTCCCTCCCTCACCTATGGTCATGAGCTTTGGGTAATGACCGAAAGAACGAGATCGCGGATACAAGCGGTCGAAATGAGCTTCCTCCGCAGAGTGGCTGGGCGCTCCCTTAGAGATAGGGTGAGGAGCTCAGTCACACGGGAGGAGCTCGGAGTAGAGCCGCTGCTTCTCCACGTCGAGAGGAACCAGTTGAGGTGGCTCGGGCATCTGTTCAGGATGCCTCCTGGACGCCTTCCTGGGGAGGTGTTCCGGGCACGTCCCACCGGGAGGAGGCCCCGCGGAAGACCCAGGACACGCTGGAGGGACTATGTCTCTCAGCTGGCCTGGGAACGCCTTGGGGTCCCCCCGGACGAGCTGGAGGAGGTGTGTGTGGATAGGGAAGTCTGGGCGTCTCTGCTTAGACTGCTGCCCCCGCGACTCGGCAACGGATAAAGCGGAAGAAAATGGATGGATGGATGGATGGATGGATGGATGGATGGATGAAATCAATGCAAATAATTACAGCCCTGGCTGTTCAAACACAGCAAGGGCTTAATTGAAAATACTCTTATTGATCCAAACTAAACATAATTGAAAAGAGTCTAATAAATAATAACAATGTTCTACAATATGCTCTGCCTGGTTTCCCATTTCGCTGACATTTTTTTCCACAAAAATCTGGTTGTTTATGGCCTGTCATATAAAGCTCTATAATATATTTTTATTTTATTTATTTTTTTACCAGCAGTGTTTTTGAAGCAATTATATCTGATTTTTCATGTGCTGCTTGTGTGAATGCACATGTGTCCCTATACCTATGGAGGTATAGGGACACATGTGGAAGCTTTATGGTTTTGTCCTTTTTGTGTTCAGCCTGCCCTTCCTAAAGCCTACAGGGATTTGAGTGAGTTTTACTGTGTTAGAGAATATGCAAGTATCTGTAATTATAGCTAATTCACAGAAATGCATATTGACCTCTGGCTATATAGTGAAAAATAATGGTTTTCTTTAGTTGTATATGATCTCACTGAAAACAGAAAATGAATGTTGAAAAAGTTGTTGACAGATAAGTTATTCATTG